TCTCCATGTATTCACTGAATGGCCAAACGGAGATCAACGATTCTCCTTTTGCTGGTCAAGAACGTTTCTCTCTAAAGGCTGCCTGTGCACAATAGCTTTCGAGGCTCTAATTTTAGCACACTCAGCTAGAAACAAGCAAAGGAGCAGGTAGAGTCCCCCACGCAAGAAGATACAGTGGTTGCTTGCTTTGCAAAGGGAGGGAAGGCATGAAAGAACACATCTGCCAGAAGCTCGTCTACTTTCTGCATTAAGAAATGACATGAACTGAATGGGGACCAATGCAGCAAAGTTACTAGTTTTGTGTATCTTGTAAAAGTTGGCTTCTGTGTATCCACTTCCATTAAGAATTTGTGGGAGGCGGGAACTGAGGGTGTGAACCATTTTTCTAAATATCAAGATGACTCAGAAAGCATCCACTTTGATATTTGAGGAAACGCAACAAAAAAATAAAGAAAGAAAAGAAAAGAAAAGAAAAGAAAAGAAAAGAAAAGAAAAGAAAAGAAAAGAAAAGAAAAGAAAGAAAGAAAGTCTCCTATAACATTCTTCCCTGGCACATCCAATAAGTATATTGGACTGTATAACATCCAATAAGTATATTGGACTGTATAACATCCAATAAGTATATTGGACTGTAACTCTCATGAAGGCCATCCAGCATGTCCACTGGCCATTCTGGCTGCTATTATGATGGCAACATAGGACAAAAGGCCTACACTGTCACTGTGCAGTTTATAATATAATGTTAGAATTTCTCTCCTAAGCGGCAGGACTGTAGGTAATGCAAGGCCTTTAAAAAAATGAATAATTTGCAACGCTGCTCAACCATGAACACAAAGAGCTAATTTTGTTCTAATTTGCAAGTGTCTAGCAGGTGGCACCTAAGTTACTGAAGCAACTCAAGGACCCTCCTGTAGGTTTTCTCCCTCGAATGAAAGACAACCCCATGCTGGGAACAGTAAGTATGACTTGTAAAAGAATAGAAAGGTTCTTTGCAGTCAATGCGCAATGGCAATTTGATCACAAAGTTCAGAGCAATCACTTATATCCTATGAATGAGATATTGAGACAAAAAGCTCAGGGGGTCACAAGCTCCTGGAAAACAGAGCGCTCTTTAGGATGGTCCAGGAGATTGTGAGTTGTGTGTGCTGCCATGTGTCTGCCCTGATTTTGGGCATCCAGTCAACCTGTCTGGAGTAAGGAGGAGAAAACAAGCAAAGAAATCAAAAAGCGCCATCAATATGTAAGAATCAAAAGTTGGTGGACAGCAATACATTTCTACTATCTCCATACCACAACCCATAAGATTTGAATGTGTACAAGTTTCAGCAAGTTGCTCATAGGCTGTGTAGGAGGAGACCCACGATGCCACTCATTGGAACAATTTGCTCTCTTTATTGGTGCTATTACTATTTGTCTGTTTGATCCACGGGCCGCCTAATTCATTTTAGTGTATTTCTGCTGCTTGAGCTGCTAAGACCGCCTGAGTGAGGTAATTACTCTGAACCTGTGAAATTGTGTGAACTGTTGTGTGGTGATGTTCTTTCTCCAGAAGTAAGAAAGAGAAAATTGCAGAAATGGCAACTTGTGAAATTAGGTCAAGATGTGGGAGCAGATAACTCAGCTCGAAAAGGCAGCCTGTTTGTCACCAACCTGAGAAGACATCAAAAGCCAAGTAGGACTTCCGTCAAAATGCATCAGCTTCTCGGCTAGAGTGTAGATATCATCAGAGGGCTACATCTCTCTGATGATTAAAAAACACACACAAACACCCTCCTTGCCAACTAAACCCTCAACAATGCAGGATCAGCATAACCTGACTGCTGTTTTTCTGTTTCTTAATTTACTTCAGACACAAACAGTTGGAGATTAAATTACTTGAAGGACTGCCTTCCATCAGATGAGTCCGCATACGTTTTCAGATCAGCAGCAGAGGCCCTTTTCACTTGTCTACCTTCCAGGGCAGTTAGATGGGGAAGGACATGAGAAAGGGCCAGTGTGGCCCCACACCTTAAATCAGTTGCCTTCAGGGCTCCTTCAGGCCCCTTCATGGTAGGATTTGAGGAAGTTCCTGAAGACTTTATCTATTTACCCTGACCTTCCCCTGATTATATTTTACTGGACTGCTCTGGATTGTAGCTGCAATCATGTTGTAGTTTTTTAGTCCTAACTAGGCTGGATGCTTTATGCTGCTGTTTATTTTTATGAAGACAGCTGTTGCATTACTACATCACTTCTTATTATATGCATTTTATTGTTAGCAATTGCCTTGGAAGGGGACTCCTGTTGATGAAAGGCTGCCGAGACATATTTAAAATAAACATGCTGAACTTTTCATTCACCTTAACTTGGAAGAGTGTCAAGTATGACATCTGCCTTTCTATAACACATTTCATATTTTCCAAGTACTTCACAGAATACCATGTTAGTATTTTTCAAATACTTCTGTAAGACAGATCACCATTATGATGACCACCTCCATCCTACAAGGAGGGAAGATGGGGGAATCAACGGAAAGAGTATGGTCACTTGCCTAAGGCAACTTAGTGAGTTCATACTGAAAACTGTTTGAACTCCGAACCCCCTGGCTCAAAGCTCTCAGTCTTAACCACTGCACTTACACCAGCTCTCAAACTATCCACTTGGATACTGCTTGGATACAACCAGAACTTTTTCCAGACATTGCTGCCTTATCTAAAATAATAAATTAAAACAGGTTAATGTTCTTGGGAGTCTGCGATCAGGCAGATTGGCAAAATTTTCTCCTTCCTTCTTGGAACCACAGGTGGCCATGAAGTTGGAGACAGGAGTAGGGATCGGAGGACTCAAACCTGAGATAGCACTGAGAGCCCAATAAAGACTATCCATGTCCCAGCAAAGTTGCAGCCTGTACAGGAAGTCTTGATAAGTTTCCTTGGTGAGAAATGTTTGTGGTAAATAGACCTAGAGGTTTGCTGCTTCACACAGCTACCCACACAGTGATGAGCAGAGGTATCATGGAGGCTGGGCTTGCAGGGATGCAGCAAGCTCTGCTTGTTTGTATGCTGAGAGGCTGTCCTGATGATCTCCTGCCTCCCTCAGAAGTCCCTAGTCCCTGAGCTCAGCTGCAAACTGCACCGCAGCTGGGCTGGGAATGGATTTTCCAGGAAGAGTATATTGCCATTTGTTGTGATATAAAACATTTTGGGCTTGGGCTTGAAAGTGTAGTTAAAACCCACACACTTTACTAAGCACCTGTTCTCATATGGATCAGCCTGGCTGTCTGCAATTCTGCACTCTCCTGGTGGTGTGTGGTCCATGGGAACTGTTGTGATGAGTGGCTGTACGTGAAAGAGTATGACTGTATTACTGGATGCAAGTTTCTGGTGTGAGCTGCTCAGCAACGCCTGACAACAGGTATCAGGCAGCATAGAGAAATTTCAACACTTGGTAGTTGTGAACTTGCCTTATCCTGGAGTCTGAAACTGCTCTCAGTGTATCAAGAATCCCCTCCCCATTGGCTCAAATCTCCCCAATCACAGACTCCACCTCAGCATCCAACTTTCTGTTGTTTGCCCACTCTTGTTGCCTCCATAAATCGCAAGCGCTCTTTGTGGCTCTAAACTAACACAACTAGCCACTTCTGTTTTGTATACCATTCCTAACACGATTTCCCATCCCACCACACACATAATATTACCAGCCCTGTGAGAAGCTATGCAAGGAAGAAAAGAGAATCACACGGAGTTGTCAAAAATGCAGTTTTCTCCTAGCATCCCACTTGACCCATTCCTTTTGGCTACGGTTCGTGCCAGTGCAGAAAAACAGATGAGATATCTTTATGGTATTATTTAGCCCAGTGATAGGCAATATGAGGCTTCTGGAGTTATTTCGAAATATAGCAATACATTCAGACCTCTGCCAAGAAAATCTGACTCTCTGAGGAGGAGGGAAGCAAAAGAAGGAGTGCCAGAGAGAGAGAGAGACAGACAGACAGACAGACAGACAGACAGAAAGAGATTCTAAATATCAATAAACATCAGTGTAAGACAAAGAAATCGTACAGCTGGAGAGTATCTGCCATCTCTTCACTTTACCTCTGCTTTGCTTGGCAAGGAAAGCCCAGGCTGAGAAACCAGGAGAGGGCAAGTGGCCTCAGACTGCCAAGCTGGGTTTGAGCCCAGGACTGGTTTGAGCCCAGTCCAAGACTGACAATCTGCCCAATGCACCAAACGGTCTGTCTGGAGTAGCTTGTTTTCCTGCTTGTCTGGGCAAATGATAGAATGTTCAAGCCTCCACGCATCCTTCCATCTGAATCAGCCTTCCTGAACTGTTTACCTTCTGTGTGTTTGGACTACAATCCCAGCATCCTAGCATTACCCATGCTACCTAGGGTGGATGAAAGATCTGGCACAAGATTGGAGAATGGTGTTTCTGCCTTTGGGTGTGTGTGTGGGGGGGATGCTGTAATAATATTAAGCAAGGGACAGAGAAAAGTCTTCCTATTTCATTTTCAGTTCATAAATGTTGAATACCTCAGATTTCGGTAACTGTGGCTGCTTATCAATGAACAGAATTTACTTCCAGTTGAAGCAAGAGAGGATGCATTTATGCACTTCATTCAGATTCAGATGCATGCTTATCTGGACACATAATGGAATACGTAATGCCAATTTCAAATCAGAGTCTGAAACAGATGAAATTATATCTCATCTATTTCAAACCTGAAATGGTTTTTGATTAGTGGTTTCAACCAAGAAGGTCTGAGTTCAAATTCTTCTCGAGCCTTGAACTCACTAAATAACTCACTCAAGAAAACCACTCTTACTGTGCCCTCAGATGGAGAGAATAATTTGCAGCCTATCTTACAGCACTACCTGTAAACATTACTGATTGAATATATGGGAAGCGCCCTGAGCACTGAACTGAAAAATAAACAGGTACAGTTTGATTAATGATAGTGATAAATACCAAATCACAGATACAGCGTTCACTGTTCTTTGCTTTTTCTCCCTGCACCTTACCTGTGTAGCCAGCCAGGGCAGCAGCAGGAATGACAGGCTTGTCCTTGTTCATGTCAGCCCGGTCCCGAACATAGTCCTTGAAGGTGCCTTTGGGTTTGTGGTTGGGCAAGGCAACTGGGTAATCCTCAGCATCAAAGCTGTCATAGGAAGGGACACGCTGGAGGCTCTGGAAGGATGACTGGCTGCTCCAGGACTGTGTCAGCCGGTCACAGCTGTCATAGCTCTCTATGCTCTCGAAGGAGTCCTGGCCTCCAAGTTTACCTGTCAGGGGAGGAGAAAATGAAGTTCACTGGACTGGAACTCTAAAGTTGATGGATAGAACCTGCTCAAGAAAAAATAGGGAGGACCAAAAGGGAGGTGGAGTCACACTATACGTAAGAGACCCAGATACCTGCACAGAAATACAAGAAGAGAAACTTAGTAGGCCCACTGAAAGCATCTGGGCTAAAGTAAAGGGAGTGAAAAATCAGAAAAACATAGTTATTGGTGTCTATTATTGACCACCCAGTCAAAATTAGGCCAAGGATAGAACCTTGGAAAAGCAACTTGGCAGCATTTTCAAGAAGAATGATGTAGTCATCACGGGGTGCGGGGGGGGGGGGTTCAGTTTCCCTGATATATGCTGGGAGACAATTTCTGCCAAACATGCCCCCTCAGAGAAATTCCTGACATTCATTGCCGACAACTTCCTTCAGCAGAAGGTAGAGGAAGAAACAAGAGGATCAGCTATCCTTGATTTAATAATAACTAACAGGGGTGGCCTGGTGGACAAAATAGCAGTCATGGGAACTCTGGTGGAAAGTGACCATGCTATACTCGAATCCTCAATTATAAAGGAGACAAAGGTTAACTGCAGCCAAATATGTATTATGGACTTCAAGAAGCCAAATCTGACAAACTTAGAACCATGATAAGCAAGTGCCATGGCAACTCACTGTTAGGGGAAAAGGAGTCCAAGAGGGAAATCTTAAAAAAGAAGATTTGCCAAGATAACTACTAAAAATTCCAACAAGAAAAAAGTATAGAAAACAACAGAAGAAGCCCATGTTGTTCCACAAAAAGTTAAATGATAGCCTGAAAGAAAAAAAAAAAAAAAACATGTACAGGAAGGGGAAGCAGGGACAGGCCACAAAGGAAGAATATAAACAAATAGCAAGGAATTGCAGGGACGGCATCAGGAAGGCTAAAGCAGGAAATGAACTGAGAATAGCATGGGATGCTAAGAAAAACAAGAAAGTCTTCTTCAGATACATGCTGTCACACTACGAGTACCTCAAAGGATGTCACAGAGAGGAGGTTATGATCTCTTCTCACTGATACCGAGTGTATGATATGGAATAATCAATTCCAATTTCGACAATACAGTTTCAGGCTAGATATCAGGAGAAGTTTCCTCACTGTTAGAGCAATGCAACAGTGGAACCAGCTGCCTAGAGCAGTTGTGGGCTCTCCCACACTAGAGATACTCAAAAGGAAACTGGGCAGCCATCTGAGAGGGATGGTGTAAAATGGAGTCCTGCAACATTCCCGATGGCCTTCTTGGCCCCATTCAACTTTACTATTCTATGATTCACATCCAACCAATGGTGGAAATGCTACTACAAAGATTACATATGCTCATTAAAACAGGTCCATGAACTTGCACTAGTTAATTTATCCTTTCTTGCAAATTAGGGAAACTAACAGCAGGCGATGGAAGCACCATACTGATCTGTTCATTTACCTGCTGCTTGTGGAACAGCATCAGCATGGACAATGCCTAGGCTGCCTGCACAGCTGATGCAGGGTGAGTTCAGGCTGGGGATGCAATCTTCATGTCTCAAAGGTTTGCACAAACTCATCAGCAGGACCCTGTTCCAAATGAGCTACCATTTAAACTCATTTGAGTATGCCCCTATAGGAATCTATTTCAAGGTAACATGAAAGTTCACATCCTTGCTAAATCACATCCCAGGGGTTCAGCCTTTACCAAACCAGTGGTGGCCTGTGTAGCTTTAGGGTGTCATACCTCTTTCAGGGGATAATTACATTCAGAGAGGGCCTCAAGCCCACATTCCAGGAGTGGCTGGGGCCAAAGATAAAGGGGGTGGGGGCTTAAATAGCGTAAAATAAATATTTCCTGTATTCAGTGATTTTATTTTATGATATTTTAGACTGTTCAATAGCTGAAGTTCAATGGGTGGTTCACAGCAATTTCAACCATGAAGTAAAATACAACTAAATTACAATGCAGAATTTTAAAAATGTAAAAATTCAATATATAGTCATCTATGTTTCAGTTTGCAGCATTTTGGCCTTTTGGAATTGGAAATAGATCGGGGGAAAGATGGAAGTCTCCAAGCTACAGGTAGTTTGGGAGATGTGGAGAGTCAAAGCCGTCCAGTGAAGTGGAGTGGGGGGGGGGCGTGTATGCAGCTCCTAAGAATGCCAGTGACCCTCCTTGGCAAAGCAGGCCAGAAGCCAATCCGAAAGCAGGACTTTCCGTGTTCACAGGCAATGTGAGCTTTCTCTTGCACAGCATGGATGGCCAGTGTTGCAGTCTAAGTTGCACTGGGAGCTATGGTCCAACATATCTGGAGGGCACCTGCTTGGGGCAGGCTGGCCTACGCACAGGCACGTTTATGCTTTCTTTTTCTTCATGCTAACAGCATGATCGCTCATGTTTAGCAAGCACTGGAATTCTCCATTCTGGCCTACCTAGACATCATTTCATCAGATGCCAAATGTGTCAGCTAGGCAGCTCCATCCAGATTTATGGCTTTTATACCAGGTGAATCACTAGGTAAGTGCAGAAGTTCAAAATGATTTAACAAGAAAGCAAGCACCATGCTGCACCCTCTCAAGTTCCCCACGCTGGTGATTACTCAACAATCGCTTCTTTACCGACAACCATTAAGAATGTAATAGGATCATTCACGATCATTAATTTCCTGGGCTGAAAACAGCTGCTGGGATTGGGTAAGAACTCCTGGAGAAATTTCTGTCGGTGGAGATACTGGCAGCTGAGGCCTAGGGATCAAGTCTCAAGAGCAAAGGGAGCGATCTGAGCTGGCACTTGTGTCCACATATTTGCCATGCTCTAGTTTAACAGAGCACTCTCCCTCTCCAGCACCACCCTCAAGAATTCAGGAAAAGGCACAATCACCTGCTTGAGGCAATATCTTCCAGGCCTAGAAGGTGGAGTTTTAGGTGTCCAGATAAGGCACCTTTAAGAAGATTAATGGGCGGCCCCACAGCTCAAGAACAGGGAACAAGGTTTGCATTCTCTGCCACAGTTATCTTCAACTGATTGCCAGTCAGTGCATGGACCAGAATAGGCTACCTGGTAGCCTAGATGATTTGGATTCTGCCCCATACTATCAGAATCATCATGGAGGCTGGGGGGTGGCTGCTGGTGGCAGGGGCTAATGAGAATAATCATTCCCAGTTATTGCCAGCCAGCAAGGCCAATGAACTTTAGTCTTTCCAGTTAAAGGATCCCAAAATGCAATGTTATGAATGGGCTGCCACCTGATATCTTGGATAATTCCTGGCACTCAAAGGTGACAGTACTGAGCAAGATCAGCCAGTGGTCTGATATTTTCTTCTATGCCACAAAGATGAACTGACCGATATGTCACATTTTTCAAAGCTTTTATTCTTCACTGGGACTCCCACTCTGAAATGCACTGCCGCTTTCCCAATGCTTATTTCTAAAATGAGAGGCACAGGACTTCCCTGATAAACCCACTCTCCCATTTTGGATATGCAGCAGAGAGGATGCCAGGGAGTTGAGATAAAGGTAGGTTTTGATTGCAAGAGAGGGGTCTACTAGGTGAGTAGAAATATAGTGTTTATGGGAGCCTCAAAGGTGTGAGATACTGTTAATTATTACCTCTGCTAGCACGGCCCATGCACATGTTATCAGGCGTTACAACTTCCTGCTTGATTGCGAAGTAGTCTGTTTGCAAGGATTCCATCTGCACTGGGTCACGGAGGATGACAGGTGGATACTCATTCTCATACTTGAGGGACAGAAGCTCCTCGGAGCTGATTGGATGAAGGGTCTGGTAGGACTCTGTGATAAAACTGGGCTCAGAAAATTCTGATGGAGGAACACATTGAGCATGCTCAATGCCATAGCCTGCAAGCATAAAAAGTGGCGTGAGCAACAGTGCCAACAGAAAGGGTATGAAGATATTCACAAGCACAAACCTGCTCCGGTAATGAACTCAGAAAGGCTGAATGGCAACAGATATCCTGAGTGTGTGTGTAAGCAAGAAATCAGGATTAATGTTCCCTTGCCTCATGAATCATGTTTACAACCAGAAGACACAAGACTTGTGGTTAAACCCAAACCCATATGCTGTTCTGGTAGCCAATGCCTGATTTAAGCATGAAACATCTGATTCAGTCCCTGGCATCCTACCAGTCTAGAAGAATCCCTTTTAAAAATCTGTATTTATTGGCTATGAAAAGTATTAATTAGTTCTTTTCTTTATCATCCTTAATGATCATCCCTTGAGATGAATGAGTTGAGCTGCAATACTATGCCAATAAACTGGTTAGATTAATGGATTCAAAAGTACTCTTGGATTGATAACACTCATGTCCTTAATTAATTGGGCAACACTTTTAAAAAGTTAATTACTTTTAATTCAATTACTTATGAAAATAGCATGTGGCAACCACCATTTTAGAAAAGAGAGACATCTCCTTTTTCTGCTTTCCATCACAAAATGCCTCTTCTAACATGGCATGCCTCATCTAAGTGTGTTCTGTCTTCTTCAACTTCATTATTTGTATGCAAAAAGCACTGATTTAGTGGAATAATACTTCATTAATAAAGTCTTTAATTTTAGCACCCCATTTTAATGCATTGTAAATGGGTAGTACTCTTAGAAATAAATACTGGTTCCTTGTTACGTAACAGTAACTACATCCATGGCCCGATGATTTCTAACCACTTCTCTATCACAGAACAGGTAATAAAAAGGAATTAGGTTAGTGCATAGGTAAGCTACGTGATGCACTTCACATATATTGGACTGGAAGCCCTCACCCAACAAGGTCAAGGGACAGTGATTCTAGGAGCTGTAGTCTAGAACAACATGTGCGTACCAGATTGCTTTCCCCTGGACTAGTCTCTACAATGCAACTTCCCTTAATGTGAGAAGGAGGTTTAAGTCAGAACTTCAGAAGTCTACACCAAGTCAGAACATTTGCCCAGTATTAGCCCAGTAAAATCTGCCTGTGTCTCCATGAAACAGTAGTTATTGCTCCCAAATCAATCCTTGTTTGTAAGCTAAGGAGAAACCTGGTTTACTGTGCTGTCAAGTTGGCTTCAAGCCAAGATCCTGCACCTGGACCTCATGCTAAGCAAGACACTTCTGTTTTGATTAGCAGCAGGCACTAGCCGGAAGGGCCACATGGCCATGAATGCACATGCAGGACTCTTTCATGCTATGCGAGGAGTCACAGGAATATTCGCTGTTTGTTCCTGGATGCCAGGGATTTTCCACTATCTGCTACTGAATCTTTTACTTGGAGATGCCAAGGACTTTTCCCATGCAAAGTACATCTGTATCATTGAACTGTAGTTCTCCTAAATTTAGCTCCAGTCCTAAGTTCACATTCCGACATGTGCCCCCAAAGAAAAGGTCACATTGCTCTTTGGCTTCCAATACAAACTAAAGCAATTTATTTATCTCCAAACTGTCTGGCACTGAAATCTGTTTTTTTTTTTTTTGCTCTGTAACGAAGAAGAAAAGGAGATCCAACTTACTAATGAAGTAGTCTGAGGCATAGCGGGATTCTGGATAGGCATTGCTCACTCCGTTCACTGGATATGGCTTTATCTCTTCTGCACCAAGGAAATGAAAGGGAATATGCCCGTTAAGCAGCAATTGTTGTTATTTTTTCAGTGTACAAACTGATTTCAGTTTTTCTCATTTATCCTCAGAACAATCAAGTGAACTGCGATATCAGCACAGAAGGCCACATCACTGCACAGTGATGTTTAAGAGCAAGATCACTTCAGGGGTGACTTGCTTCCTGAGTGAGTGGCCTTGGGTATGCCATGAAAGCAACACAGAAGTTTTCTGTGCTGCCTGCATGCCTATGGAGCTATACACATTGCATCCATCGTAAAAGCATTATGGAGGATCTGCAATGAACATTTAGGAAAAAGTACACACGGTTAATTATGATGCATATGAGAATCTACCTACTATTTGTATAGTTTTCCTTGCAGAGAACTTGAATGCTTTCCATATGTGGGACATGGTATGTCTGAAGCCATTGGTGCCTAAGACTGCTAAAAAACTCAGGAGGGAGTAAGCTCCACTGAATACACTAGGTTCTACTTTCAAGTAAAGATGAATAGGATTTCACTGGAGGTCAGGAAATGTCCCAAACTCTTAGGTTGCATAGACAGGCAAAACGTAAACAAGAATATTTCAGATTTAACAAACTAAGCAGCAAGTCCTAATCCAACCTTCCCCAGCCTGGTATCCTCCAGATGTGTTGGACTATCATTTCCATCATTCCCAAACTCTGTGCCCTTTCCCCTCTCAGCCACCTAGCTGGGAAAGATGGGAGCTGAAGTCCGACACTTCAGGAAGAAATCAGGCTGCAGAAAACTGTTCGAGTGGCATCCTTAATGTTCTTACAAATGCACTGAAATCTGATGGTCGAATTCAGTTGGACTGATCACCCTAGGACAGCTGTGCTATGTACTGCTGCCGACCCTTTTATTAGCAGGCCTCCAGCCCTGCCAGGTCTCTCAAAATCTATCAGTCAGAGGTGACTCACCTACCACAGGCCAAGAAGGACATCTTCATGTATTTGGGCATATTTAAACTTTGCTCCCTCCCACCCTAAAATAAACCCCATTTCCCAACTGTCAGCAGTGCCCTCCATTTGACTGCAAACCCAATGGAAAGCTGACCGCTGCAACCTGGCCTCCACCCGTCCCTGTGGTCATCCACGCTGCGTCTTGGCAGAGAGGGCCAGGAGGAGGAAGGGCACAGAGGCACTGCCTTCTCAGCTCACACAAGCCCTGGCTTTGTTTAGACAGATTTTCCCCCATCTGCATTCCCCTGGAGGGGAGGCCAAAATTAGGCACTTTTGAATGAATGTGCATGATCTCTGGAGAGCTTCTCTCTGGCCTCAGCAGAAATAAACAAGAGTCGCAGCCATTCTGCATTCTGTTGTTCTTCTTGCTGGGGGGAATCGGTCAGTCTGTGAGGTAATGCAGAAATGGACCGTTGCAGCAAAAGCAAGAGGGACTTCCCTTGAAGTCAGGAAGCATCAGCTTCATGTAAGCTTTTTCATGCTTTCAGACCATCCCAAAGGATGCCGGCGAGAGCAAGGCCTCACAATCCATGGTCTGCAAAGGACTCAGCCTACTAGCCATGATGATGCCAGAGTGACGTCATCATCGTGCCCCTGTGCCACATCCTTAGCAGTCCTCTACTCCAATGCAGCCCACAAAAGCGGGCAGTTTTTCAAGTCAGTGTATGGTGGTCACCATGAATTGCGAGTGGGCTGATTTCAGCTTGGCAGATAGACATACTCTTGTTCTACTGTATCTAGAGGAGACTCAATTCCTTGGAACCTGCTCCTGGTAAAGCACCTCCTGGATTTTCTCTATTTTTACTTCTGGAAAGTAAAACTAGAGACAATATCATCATCATCATCTTCGTTGTATCCTGCCTATTCCCAGTGATTGGGACTCAAAGTATCCTGTTGAAATTCATACAATTAAAGCATTCAACAATATACAAAAGTTAAAAACATAATTAAATCAGTTAAATGTTAAAATTGAACAAATACCCAGATTAAAAACTCTTCAAACAATATAAAGAATAAAACGAATACAGCACAATCTCACAGGCCATTCCCAAATGCCTGCTGGAAGAAAAAGCAAGCATTTCCAACCTGCTTTCCAAAACCTAACAGGGAATTAGACAACCTGTTCAACCTAGACTCACTAGGAAGGGATTCCAGAGTCATGGAGCAGCCACCAAGAATGGCCTCTCTCACGTCCCCACACACAAGTATACAAATACAAAGGCAAGCATGTCATGTGCAGCCTGACATTTACATGCTCGTGAGGCTTATCTTGAATTGAAGAAAAAAAAAAATCTGGAGAACACTTAAGTTTCCCCACCCTGAGCCTAACTTTCACTTATAGAACAAATATTTTCTTGGTTTTTAAAACCATGCAGGAAGGGCTCTTGTGGAGTACAAAAGAGTACTCCCTTAATTTTAGGGTGCAGGTTTCAAGGGCTCATTTTGCTTGTGATACAGGAACATTAATCACAGAAACATGAAGTTGCTGTCTTAAAGTGTCGATCCACGTAAGCAGCCTTCCAGACATGGCACCCTCCAGGTGTATTTGAGCTGGGAGAAGACAGGAGTTGCCCACAATGCACACTGCAGTTGCCATGGAGATGCTATTGAACCATTTCCCCTGTGGGAGGTGATCCCCTTAACTGGGTGTGGATGAACATCACAGCTGGGCATCAGAACTGCGCGGGTAATCATGTAATAACCCAAGTCTCAGTCTTCTGTACATAGCTTTTCCTTTCTGATATTAAAACCTTGCTCTACAGCTGGTCATCTCTCTCTCACACACACCTGTCGAACATCACCAGAGATAGGCTGCAGACCCCACAATGGAGCATGTTTACCTTCAGAAAGCCACAGAAGGGATAAAATAATCCACATTTTTGGTGCACATCATGAAAGGGACAGACCTACTTCTCCTGTTCCTGAAAACAGCAGAATACACCCCTGTCTTTGCCTATTACAGAAGCTTCCAAAATGCTTTGCAAACAACTTTGCCGGCACACCTTGTTTGCAATTGGTTTGGTTTCAGCTTGTTTGTTTGTTTGTTTAATTGCTTAGGTATGTGTGTGGCTCTGTTCCTCATAGCTAATCCAGGGTAATCCAAGAACAGTTTAACTTTTTCACATTCCTTTTGGTCAAAGGGCACTTTATGGCCTCACGCAGCAGGATGCACTGTGCTTTGCAGCAAAGAGCTTTTGTTATCTATTCTCAGGGCTTTGCATGCATGTGTTCCATTTGTGTCCATCTGGTCTGAGGTCGCATGGCATTTAATGTGCAACTTCACAATTAACTGGTCAAAACACCTGCTTGCCAATGCCCTGTACCCAGAAATCACACAGGTTAAAGCAAATTCATGAAGGCGCTTCCGAGAGATGCTGTAACTGTAGCAGGGGACAGTCCTGCATGCAGAATGCCTCGGGCTCTTTTACTGGCTTCTCCAGGTCAGGCTGGGAAAGATTCTAGCTAAACACCCAGGACAACTGATGCCAATCCGTGCTGACACTGACTAAATGGACCAGCGTTCTGATTCAGGATTGTCCAGTGTGGTACCTGTGGGCAGCCATATACTGGTGGAGACCCCCTTTGGTACCTACTAGGCACCCTGCCCCTCTTTATCTTTTAGTGTATTTATTAAGGGTTTTTAATTTGTTTTAACTGCTAAGCTGGCATGTGGCAAAGCTGCGCTTCTGGGCTATCTTAATTTGGGGTTCATAAAGGCAGTTGGACTTTGGAATGCCTCCCTGACAATACTTGTTGTTCTGGGGAATTAATATTTTGGTACTAGCCATGCCCACCGTGGTAGTCATTTTACAAATGGGCAACTGCTCTCCACCATAGCAGCTGCTTTGTGAGAATTCCCACAAGACATTTTCAAAAGTCCGGGTTTGCCCCGCTGGGCAAAATGTTTGGAGACCCATATGGGCAGTGGAAGACTGGCTCTTTTGTATCAGGTGTAAGCTTTTTATAGTGCAACTGCCCCGTTTCCATCGTAACTGCTGCTCCTAAAGGATTGTCTCAACTTTTGGCCTGGGAAGGAGCAGATGGGCTCTCAGAAATGGCTGTGTGCTCTGACATTCAGCTCCAGCAACCTTCTCTAAATTAGTGCTCTCCAGACATGGATTTCAATGGCCATAAGCCTCAGCTAGCATGGCCAATGGGAATTGCAGTCCAAAATATCTGGAAGGCATCAGGTTGTGAGGGGCTGAGGAAAAGAATGGATGAGAGTGGCAGAGCATCTGCTTGGCAGGCAGAGAACAAGAGTGAGCTCAGAATCAGGCAGATTCCTGCATTCCCAAAATATGAATAAGACTTCAGGATGTCAGAGTAGTCCAATGAGTTCAGGTTTAATATGCATCAGACCCATAGAGTCCACAGCAGACTGCCCTAGTTGAAGTTATACAGATTTCATGGACTTGTGGGCTGATTTTTTAAAATCTTCCATAACCTCATGCAAATTTAGTTGTAGAAAAAGTACAAAACTTATCAACTGAAAATGTGTATTTCCCTCTCCCAGACTAAAGTTTGGAAAAGCACATTTTGGGAAATGAAGATTTGTACAAGTCTGAATGGATATATTTGCTCAAAATCTGAATCTGTCAAAGAGCAAATGGCAGGACTAGAGGCATTCATAGAGGCATCTATGAAATGCAGATGAATGGATTTAACAAAGGTTGTACATTCTTAGCAACATATACTTTAAAAGGCTCCCCGAATGCTGATTAGGCCTGTTTCAAAACACTTCAATCATGGTTACCATGTACCCCTTTCTCTATGATATTCAATTCTAGCACTCAACTGATCAGATATATTTTCGGTGGGTTTTCTGTGTTCTCTGTACTTCCCAGGGAACATATTAAGGTTTCCTATTTGCTAGTGAAGCTTTTTTCCCATTTTTCATTTAAGCTGAGAACAGATGTGAACACTGCCAGGCAAAACCAACCTGGTATATAAGTCAGTACATTGGGTTTAGGCATGAAATAGCCAGAGAGACAGTGTAACACAGTTTTCCACCATGCTCCTGAGCAAGGTGTTCCAAGTATTTATTTCGAAAGCACTTGTTTTATAGGTCTAGCATCCTAAATTACCTTTCTGCAGGATCTCCAGATGTTCCCAAAGAATATCTCCTACAAAGTCTGGTGCCAGTTCAAGGAAGCAGTCCTTTCCTAGAGCACACAGAGCGGCTCCATTCATACAAAACTTCTGGAAGTCCACACCCTTCAGACTGAACTCATTCACTGCCCACATCACCCAGTCCCGTACGTGGGTCTCTGTCCATTGCTGAGGATCTGCACCAGGAAAACACATTGGGTAGAGCAATTTGAAAGCAATCACTGAATATATCATCTTGTCTTGCTACAATACCCTGCTGGGAAGGGCTGAATCAATGGCTATGATGGCTAAATGAAAATTTGGGGTCTTTGATCTCTCTCCTGTCATTCATGCCATCTCTTTTCATAACATGCATGATGAGATATATTTATTTATTTATTTATTAAAACATTTTTATGCCACCCCATTCGCCGAGGCCTCGGGGCGGCTTACAACAATACATTAGAAACCACATAAATAAAAATTAAAATATATACATTAGAATCATAATAATTTAAAAAATATACATATATGTGTATATATATACACACACACACAATATAAAATAAGCCGCCCTGGCCAGATAAGATTCAATAGTATCAACATTTAAAATGCTGCTTGAATAAAAAGGTATTCGCCTGGTGCCGAAAAACAAATAACAAATAAAACAAATATAGGCCCCTTCAAATTGAACCACTCTGTCTAGCAGAGGTTGAGGCGGCTGGATGGGGCCACTGGAGGTGTGGGCTTGGGTGTACTCCAAGGGATGGTGGAGAACAGGAAAACCTGGAGGAATGTTGTCCATGGGGCCACGAGGAGTCGGGCATGACTTTGTGGCTATGATAAGAACAACATATCTAGCTAGGTATCCATCTACACTATATACAATCCAGTATACCCCATTTTGTATGGTAGTAATATAAGGCAGCCTCCCCCAACTTGGTACCCCATGTGCACTTATGAGCAGCTGTCCTTAGCTTCCTCACTTCCCTGCCACGATCTTGAGCAGCGTCAGGCTTTCTGCAGCTTTTTTTCTTTTATCCCCCGTAGGTGAAAAATGCTAGCTTTACAGCTGGCTTCAATGATGTTCATTTTGACAGCCACTGCAGCCCCTTCCATGTGCCCAAGCAGCATCTTGGCAGGGCTGTCAGTGATAAGAAACATTCGAAGCTGTTTTGCACAAAAAATGTTCACCCAGTTTGCACAAAGGGCACTTTAAAATAGTTTAGCTGCACTTCTCTAGCTGTATGACCGAGTCAAAAAATGCACACTGCCTGCTAAAATGCCCTTCTAAAAGAGACCCGGAGTTTTGCATTTTCCCAAGTACCTAGAAGTTTGGGGGCTAAGTGCAAAGTATTTGCCAGCATGTGGATACCTGGGGAACCACTGTAGAGAGATTGCTCCTCATCAGGACTTTTTCCAAGCAAAAATCACACAGACTTGCAATTTCCCTTGACAGTTTTAAAGACTAAATGAAGGAAGGGGAATCTGGAGCTTCTTGTGGGCAACCTCTGAGGTTGGTACCTTCTGCAGCTTGGCCACAGACAGCCCCCACATGCCACTGCTCCAGCCAAGGCTTCAGGTCCTCGCACTCACACAACTGTGAAGGTTTGCTGTTGCACAAGTGTGGTTGCTTTTTTAAGCACTAGTCGTAGCAGTGCTTTTTTGATAGGACCTCAGGGTGCTGCTCAGGCACTTGGAAGGGTTTGTCAAAACAGGAGCCAAGAAAGCATGATGAAGAAGAATGCTGTGGTGATCCCAAAATCATTTCTGGTCATGGCAGGAGGGAGGGTGACAACTCAGTCTTCTCGTGTTGTCCTCTTGGTTTCCTCTGGGTGGAGCAAGGAGGCAGGAAGAGGAGGAAGAGGGCCAATAACCAGCAATAGCCCTGAACATTTGTCAGGTGCACCATGGGATGTTTTGCCAACAGCCAACCAACTTGATTTATTGCCAAGGTGGATTGGTGCCAGATGTGAACATGCCCACTAATATCTACAAGTTTGCCGATTTGTAGGTATTCTGCATAGAATTCGTATTTGAATTGTTCTAAGCATACCTTTGGGGATTCCCAGCCGTTGCTGTTCTTTCGTGAAGCCACTGAACGTGGCTTTTAATGCCTGTGACATCATTTCTTTGCTGCTTGGAGTTAACAAAGGCACATCTGCACATTCCATATCTGAAAGAAAAAATTGGAAAGCAGGCATGAAACAGACAGCATAGGAGAAATTCTATGGAGTTGCAAGTTCAAGTCTGATGGCTGAGATGGCAATGGTCATAGTCCAGATACCCACTCTTGAAACATTCATGATGGTCTTCTACTTGTGGAGCTTGCTTTCTCAGCTTGACTGCTACTCATTGAGCAGACTTACACTTGCCTCTGATTTAAATGAATCAACAAATATAAATAAGAAATGCAAGGACCTCTGTCTAGCTAAGGTGACCACTGTAGAAGTAGGTTGAATGAGATGGTCCTCAAGCTGCTACTCTTGCCTTTAGTTGTTTGCTTCTGTAAAGCAGGAGTGCTAAACCACTCTCAGTCTGAAGGTCTGCGGTCACAGGCCAGTAGTGGGTAGTGCCAAAGGCTAAAGAGCTGGAGTCAAAGTACAAAAGCCAAAGTGTATTTCATCTTAAAACTCTTACTACCATCAACTAAGAGGTGTTTCAATTATTTAGAATGAGGGAAATGGCACAAAAACAGGGAAAAAATCATCAGTTGTTGGGTGAAAATGAGTAGGGTCAAGGGACGGAGCTGTAGCCACCAGGAGAACGCTAGAAGGTGGGAATGGGGCCTTACCAGGCCTAAGGTCCCAGTGGTTCTGCACCCCTGCTGTAAAGAAAGATGAGCTACAACTAGAATATTTTCTCAAGTCCTTTCTGGACTAATTATCTCGGCAGGATATTCCCTAGTTATTCTACCCATGCATTCAGCCTAATCCATTTGTGATCTTGTGTAATGGTTCAGGAAATTAAAACTGAAGCCACTATTCATTTTAAACTGGGCTGTTTCTTGTTTTTAACCAAGTAATTATGGAAATAGGAGGGATGCACTCTTTTATCATCAATTCTTGGACTATTCAGAGATGGCAACCTTGCTGTATTCACTCAGGGGAGTGTGGGTGTGTATGTGTGTGTGTAGGTAGGTAGGTTGGATACAATCCTATGCATAGTTATGCTGGGAGTTTTAAGACCCTTTCTGTCTAAACATGAATAGGTTTTTAGGCCTTTAAACATTTTGTAGTGAAATACTACACATTTTCATTGTTCTGTAGAGTTTACCAGGAAAGATTTTTTTTAACAGTGTGGGAAAAGATGCTCAGGCTATTGGGAAAAAGTTACAGATTCCAAACACTGTTTAAACAATGTCATTTGGATATTTAGAGGGTTTTATTAGCAAGACTCTAGAGAAATAAACACATACTCCAACCACCTCTGCCATCCATCTTCTTCTTCGAGATAATGCCAAGAGAAAGTGTCCTGTACACTTTTCCCCAACCCTTAAGTGGCTTGTTGTGTTTTAATGATGGGCTTAGTGTGCTCAGAGGTTACACGAGACCACCCGCAAACTGCCTGATCACCTTTGCAGTCTGGTTAGAGGGCAGCTGTGTTGCTCTCTGGCTATGGGAGAGTGATTCAGAAGTGGCCTAAAGGGAAAAAAAACTAGCCTTTTTTGCCCCTTAAAAAATCTTCTAACACATGTGCACAACAGACTTAGGGTAATGTACTGGCAATAGGTGTACAGAGCAGTGCCAAAGTTATTCCCAGTGGAAGTCATAGCCTAGTAAGATGTGCATCATGGACTGCAACCTTTAGAGGAAAAAACGTGCAACTTTTCCAGGTGTTAGGAACTTGGAAACAACTCTACAAATAAGGAAGGATCTGACTGCCCTTCTTAATAGCAGCCCTGCCCCCAGTCACAGCAACTGAGAATGAAATAAAATAAAATAAAATGACAAGATCTAGGAAATATTAATTAGGGAAAAATTATATTAAAGACTACTATAGTGAATCACACATTTAATGACTATTTCATTAAAAATTGTGTCTGGTTCTAAATATAACCAACTCAAATAAGTACAAATACAAACAACCATGTGGCTTCAGTTCGATAGTTCTATACTGATGAATGCTGTAGTTGATTTGACTGTAAAGGATACTGAATTGTTGCTGAATCCTTTTAGGATATGTATCCAACCAACTGTTGTTTTGTCTTTATTTCTTATTATTGTAATTATTTCTTATTCATTATTTCCCTTGAAATTCATTATATACTCCTTTGTTCTAAACTATGCCCCATACAAGGGGGACTGGGTTGTTTATCTGAAATGTAGTGAAATATTTCTAAATAAAGAATTCTGTTTAAAACCACTGCTAAGAATCCATTCATCACCTTTCAGTTTTCAAAATATCTCTATTTCAATATGCCTTTCCTGATCTATTGCAGTTCAAATGCTAGACAGCATTTCTTGCATAACCAATACCTAATTAAAGAGTCAAAGACAGGACTTGCAAAAGTATCGTCTCAAACAAGAATGGTTGAAAGTTCTTTCGACACATTAAACAAGCCGATTTAAATGAGAATTTATAAACTGAGGGGTGGAGCAATGGCGTATGAAGCCTAGTCCTATGTTTATTTAATGGGAGTTACTTCTGAGTAAGTTTGCCTAAGATCAGGCTGCATTCAGCCTCACATGCAGCGGAAACAGTGTTTTCTGAGCTGAGCTTGTGGACACTCCAAGTAAACTGTCTTTAGTGTGATTTACTTCTAAGTAAGTTTCTTTAAAATTGCTACCTTAAGAGGCTGGGGGTGCTACCTTGCTTTAAACAGGCTTTAAAGGAATTTGATGGAAAGAATTATATTAAGGTCCTGTACTAGTTTTCCTGATAGAGTATGAGAGCCTACAATATCCCGTGGCGGTACTGGCCCAAGTTCAGTTATAAATGAATAAACCTGAGTTTTACTAGATAACAGTGCAAGACCTATAAAAGCAGACTGAGACTTCAGCAAAATATAGAGTTACTGTTGCAACATTATGGTGCAACAGATAATGGGCCAAGTATGTTGTGATAAAAAACAACCCTATTAGAGGCAGGAAAGAAGTTTAAATGGTGATTGTGAAGGAGCAAACCAAGGTCAACCATGACTGTAGAATCGCAAGGTTTGCTATACTGTTTCTCACATTACATGGCAGGCACTACTTGTCTCTGGACTTGACAAGTCATCAGCACAGCTTCTCCTCTCTCCCCAGCATGGTACGTATGTGCATGCCTATATGCACGGATAGCATTCACATGTTAAACGTTAAGTGCACTTAAAATGCACCTTCAGTGCACACCTAACAATATGGATGAAATTGCCCTCCATTGCATTTTTAACAAGCAGGGTAGGGCAGGTCAAGCTATGACTGGAAAGGCAGATAAATGTTCCTTTCTCCTCCATCCTTATGCACAAGAAATCCAAAATTTTACTGGAACGTGTGTTGTAATATTTTAGTGGCCGGTAAGAATATCTTCTTATCAGGTTTGCATATGTAAACTAGTTAAGCAAATAGGGAACTTAGCTGACATCAAAGAACCTGATCTTAAAACAATACAGCTCTGTTGGGATAGCAAACCACTACAGATCTTTCATTGAAGCAAGCTAAATTACACTTCACACACACACACACACACACACACACACACACACAGAGAGAGAGAGAGAGAGAGAGAGAGAGAGAGAGAGAGAGAGAGAGAGAGAGAGAACATTTATTTTTCTCTCAGGCTTCCATAGGATAAAGGGCTGTAGGCATTCATGCAGTTTATGTACTATCACAGTTTCAATCCATGTTGTGCCCCATCAGATGTTCTCCTGTGCTCTTCCTTGTCTGCACTGCCTTACACAGTAGCCTGCCAAAATTGATGTCTGGTTGGTCACAGCAGGACTAGGCTGACCTGGCCACCCATTCTGTTGCCCCTCCTGTCTCAGAATCTGATGGATGGACGTGGAGGTCAGGAACCAAGCTCCCTGTTGACTTCAGGAGAAGCACATTGTCTTTCTTCCTTCTGGTCTGCGCCCAAACCAACTCAAGTACTCAAACGGCTTAGAAAAAGGTGCCTGTTTTATCATTGTCCTAGGAGCTAAGAGTAAGTCCATCTGATTAACACCCCCCTAAACTCTCAAACAGGCAGCAAACAGAAGGGAGAAGCAAAAAGCCCAGGTCAGTTCATAAGGATCACTCCATAACTTAGCACAGTGGACGCCTAGAGTTTTAAGCCAAAGGTCCATAATGTCTGTAAGGACAGGAGCATTGTGCCCTGTGACTAGCTGAGTGCTTACTCCACTGGCAGCTTGCTAGATGCTTCTGGGATCTCATAAGCTTGGGTCAAGGTTGCAGCCAGGGAAGTGCACAGCCCCCACCTGGAGTGCTGGTTCACCCCAAAAGTTTTATTTTAAACACTTTTTCTCTTGTAATATGACAACTTCAATTTACATGCCATTTTCTGTTGTGCACAGAAGAGACCAATTGTGTCCTGTGTTGCAATCTGGCTGTGAAAACTATCTATCCCTCCCCACTGGCACCATTGGAGGTACAGAAAGCCCCACTTCCCCAGGACTGATACTGGTGACAAGCATGGACCAGGGCAGTGCACATGGAAGAGAGTGTGGGATGGCCCTGCCTTCTGACCCCACACACATCGGAGGGCACCCCCTTTGGCCTGCAGCCCCCATGTTAAAGAATGCAGAAGTCTCTTTTTAAAATAGGACCTTTTGTGGTTAAATTTACTCTCTCTCTCTCCCTCTCTCCCTCTCTCTCTCCCTCTCTCTCTCTCTCTCTCTCTCTCTCTATATATATATATATATATATATATATTTTAAATAAATCTATGCCTCTGTGGTGCTCAATCACAGAAGCAGTGCCCCAAACTGCACCCACCTGACTGCTTACGCTACCTCAGGATGGTTGTTTTTCAAGATCACTTTCATTCTGAAGTGGTCCTGGGGGAAAAAAAACCCTTTAGCGGCTATGACTGTGAGTAAGGTGAGCTACTTCGGAAGGCGAAAGTCATACTGAAAAATATTCATCCGCTAAGTTCCCCTTTACTGCTTTTAAAGGCCTTCCCATCCACACAATAGGCGAGGAGCAGCTGCAATCCTGGGGACTGAGCACCTCCAACACAGTGGACCTCGCTTCTCAG